TATATATATCTATATATATATATATTTATTTATATTTGTTTAACGGGGCTCCACATAACAAATATCACTCAAATCTTTTCATGCATAGGTTTAAAACACCAAGTTGCAATGTATGTGAATATGAAAGTGTGAGATCTGTAAATAAAGAAGAATTGTGCGCTAGTTATGTAAATACATTGTAATTGAGTGGCAATGTTTGTAAAATATGAAGTTTAGGTGTTGGATATGTTTAGAATAAGCCCTAACTATAAACAAGAAAGCATGTAGAAATTAAGTTTAAATGTTATATATGTAAATAAATTTGAATTGAGCGATACATTTGGATTCCTTACCGAGATCGTGAGCCAAAGAATTTATACCGAGGAATAAAACAGCATGGCGAGAGAGAATACCAAGCGAGTAAGAATGAAAGGGGGAGAAATACAAAATTACCTTCTTTAAGGGCATGATTTCCTCGCCAGAGTTGAGCACAGTCATGGTCACCAAGAGAGAAAACCAACAGAGACGAAAGAAATATGATGTTTTTGGCTCTCAGGTTTGATTTGATACTAATTTTCAAGTTATTATCGCCTAAAATTTCAGCCCTTAAATTTGTCGGCCGAAATTTCAACAGTTTCCAAGTAATTTAGAAATCAATCAAAAATGACAATTAGATTTTTAGCCATTATACTAACTTGACTGAAAATTCAACATATTGTTCAGCCGCTAATCTATTGTTGACCATTTGGCCACATATTTGGTTGGCAAATACCCGGTTGAATAAAATATGCCGATCATTCTATTGATTTGGACAGCTTCTTCTGAATTGCGAGAGGAAGCTCAACAACTAAGGATCTATTTGGGGCAACTGCAACTTATTTATATGCTGCTGAGCAGCAACTTTGCCAGAAAGCTGTTGTCGTCAAGTTGTGTGTTTGTTTGTTTAGTGCGGTTATACAATAGGTGTGCTTCAGTTGTTTATGACAAAAAGATTTGTCTGCCCTTGTATTATTGTGTTTTTTATAATAGAAGTAATCGAATTTGTATAATTTATATGTGAAAGCAAAAATAAGATTCAACATCCCCAAAAAAACCATATATTCAAATAATACAACAATAAAATGAAATCTCTCTAAACAATGAGTTACATAGCAAAAGTAAAATTAAAACTACTGAAACAACAAGTAACATTGTGATGATATTGGTTTTGAAGTGAAGAAGTCCGACTTTAAGAGAAAATTGCCTCTAAAAAAAAACTCTTCATGCTAGATTACTATCTGAAGTAGAATCGTCGAGTTGATCCGCCCACCTGAGAAAGTTACAGTCTTTCTATGATCTATTCCTCAGACACATAAAATTTTCTTCCGCAACAGTGCTTTTGTCATGAAGTGTGCAGAAAACATAGCCGTCAGCAGTAGCAATACAAGAGTCTAGATGCACCAGAAATCCTCGAACTCATAATTTTTGTAGGTTTAAAATCACAAACAGTTAGATGTAACATTAACCAAAAACACATAGTTTCATAAACCCGTGAGAGGTCTCATAGCAAAGGAAAAACCGTCGAATAACAGTCAAATAATTTGACATTGTAAGAACACAGAAGACCTTAAAGATAGGGGATCTTGGTGGTTTTTAAACCATGTACTTCTGTGTCTGTATGTATCACCTTAAAGACCATCCAGAAGAACTCTAAGAATCTTATGACGGAAAAAGTAATGAATCTTGGTTGTCTTGTCGGCAATCATGTCAAAACCCATAGCAACATATAGACCATCAAGAAGAACCTCCCAACTAGCCTATGCTTGGAAGTTCATCGGTCAGAATTCATTCCCTTTGTCATCTGTTTCCGGACCATCCTTGAGTGGGGTGGGGACAAAAAAAATTGAGGAATGCTCTGCCCTATAGTCCGAATAACTATTTTTGGTTGCACACAGGTGATTGTACCTACTCTCATTTAGGCACAGTTATTACCTACCATGAAAAACTAATTGAAATAATCATTCATCATCAAACTGCAACAAAATTTATTTCACTAACATTTCAAACAAAGCCTCTTTCATGCAAAAACCAAGTGATCGCATCAGGAAATAGATTGTAGCATTAACAAATATATAACCAGACAATGAACAGCATATTTCCATAAGTTTACAAGACAACGACTCTGTATATGGATATAATTGTTGTTATACAAAACAGTAAGAATCTGCAATTAACATCCCAGTTTCAAGCAAAAAACCAAACACAAAAAAAAGTATGAAATTCAGAGGAACAAGAAGAAGAGAAGTGATAAACCATGAGAACATAATCCGCCATCGTCTTGCTCAACAGTCTTAAGCCACGGTCTTCTCATACTTGAGAGGCTTAACCACCTCCCATGTGAAGTCAGCATCATCCCTGCCAAAATGACCGTAAGCAGCCGTCTTCAAGAACCTGCCATTGCCACCCCTCTTCAGATCAAGATTGATGCTAATCATACCGGGCCTGAAATCAAAATTCTCCTTCACTATACTGAGGATTTCCCTGTCCGGAATCTTGCCGGTGCGATAGGTATCAACGAAAACTGACAGAGGCTCCGGCACACCAATGGCGTAAGAGACCTGAACAATGCAGCGCCTCGCAAGCCCGCTGGCCACCACACTCTTAGCGGCTTGCCTGACAATGTAAGCACCGCTGCGATCGACCTTCGTTGGATCCTTTCCGGAGAAGGCTCCGCCACCATGAGCTCCCCAGCCGCCATAAGTGTCGATAATGATCTTCCTGCCGGTGAGGCCTGCGTCGCCATGAGGACCACCGATGACAAAACGACCGGATGGATTGAGATGGAAAATGGTTTTCTCATCCAGGTATTGTTCGGGGATCACCGGCTTGATGACATGTTCCTTGAGGTCAGCAGCAATCTCATCGTTGGTGACAGTTTCATCATGTTGGGTGGAGATGAGGACTGTGTGAACTCGAATCGGAACCATGGCTCCGTTGTCGTTGCGGTACTCAACAGTGACCTGTGTCTTCCCATCGGGTCTCAGCCAGGAGCAGGTTCCATTCTTGCGGACCTCAGTGAGCTTAGCTCCGAGCTTGGTTGCCAGGACATGGCTGAGAGGCATGTACTCAGGGGTCTCATCCGTGGCGTAACCAAACATATGCCCCTGATCACCGGCGCCAATCTCCTCAGGGAGCTTGGTGAAGTGGCCATGAACGCCCTGAGCAATGTCAGGAGACTGCTGCTCTATGTTCACGAGAACATTGCAATGGTCGGCATCGAGGCCAACATCATCGGAGATGAAACCGATGGAACGACAGGTATCACGAACGATCTTCTCATAATCGACATTAGCTTTAGTGGTGATTTCACCGAAGACCATCACCATGTTCGTTTTGGTGCAGGTCTCGCAAGCAACTTTGCTGTCAGGGTCCTGAGCAAGGCATGCGTCAAGAATGGCGTCGGAGATTTGGTCGCATAGTTTGTCTGGGTGCCCCTCGTTTACAGATTCGGAGGTGAAAAGAAAGGTGTCTGCCATTTCTTATAGCTGAAAGAAGAATACAGAAGTGAATGAAAAAAATAGATATTAGAATGCTTGTCGATAAAAAAAAAGGAAATTGATCAAACATTAGTGTCACTAGAGTTACAATCTCTATGAAGAAATATAAAACAAAGTTAAAAATTAAGCACATCGCAATGAAGGCAGTACGAGAATACAAAACTGACAAATTTTATCTTCCTTCAATTTTTCCTTTCGACATGAATTATTAGCACTTCTATAGCAAGAATTTCAGTTTAACGACAAAAGTCAGTTTCTTTCCTTCAAAAGCCAAAACCCAAGTAAGAGCTTAAACTTTATCAAGAAATCACCCATGAAGGGAATAAGACAAATATTAAAGTATAAATGCATAGGGTTGTTAGCCAGCTTATTTCGAGCTTAGTTGGGGCCAGCTCAAATCAGCTCAAATGTATTGAATTTAGATTAAAATTGGCTCGTGGTTTGTTATGTTCAATTTCGAGCTAGCTTAGTTAGGGGCGGCACCAACCTCTTTTTTGAAAGGAATTGCCCTCCTAGACCTAACGTGAGAGGGCTAGGGTAACGAAGGGTAAAATGTATTTCAAGATGGGCAAAACCGATATTTTAGGAGGGACACAAGAACAAATTGCTCTCTCATATAAGTAAAAAATCTAAAATTGAGGGAGCTAATTTCTCTCGAAATTGAAACTCAAATTTGAGTTAATTGAATCCATTCTGGCTCGATCCAGCTCGAAATCGAAAGAAGGTGGCTCAAATAGAGTTATTTGGATATGTTCCAACTCGAAATTCGCTTTTAGCTCATTATATGTAATTTTAACTAGCATTATATATAATTTTTATCAATAAAAAATTTTGAGCTTATTCATGTATGGCTTGAATCAGTTAAAAAAAAAATCAATTCGAAATTTTGGTTCATAGTTTGACTCTTTTATTTTAATCCGATCTCAATCCTAACTAATATTTGAATCAATTTTTGAAAAATTAACAATGTACGGGCTAAATTCATAGCCCTATATATATGCATAAGTTAAGAAGCTGCAAATTATAACCAAACCAAGATATTTACAAAATTAATTAAAGAATGGAAACACCGAAGGGAATAAGATTGCAAGATAGGACACCAAAAATCGGGAAAACAAGCTCACCAGGAAGATAAAATTTAAAGGTCACCAGACCTAAATTTAAGGGTTCAATATGACAAAGAAAATACAGAAATTGCGTCGTGATAAACACATCAGAAACAAGCTACTTGATAGAATCAATCAATGAACAGATGTGTTAAATCGCCATACTCCAACTAAATCAAATGAATATTCAATAATCACAATTTCTCAACAAAATGCCGATCGATGACCTAAACTGCAAGTTCGTAAAATGTAAGCATCATCGACAACAACAGCAGCAAATGAATCATTCAAAAAACAACTTAGAAGCGCAAATCTCAGCACCTCAAACTTGAAAAAAGAAAAAATAAACGAAAAACCCCATTAGATATACCTAGATCTAATCCTTTCCGATTCAACCAAACTAATCACACCCACCAAATCAACCTAAATCAGGGAACACGATGCAAAAAAAAAAAAATTTTAAAAAAAACATAACCTAAAGCGTCCAGTAAAAACCATGAAGAAATTAGGGTTTCCTTTCTCACCTCTGGCTGGGCACGAAATAAGGCGAAGAAATAGCACAATCTCCCCCTTCACCTTCTTCTCTTCGCCGAGGCAATGAGAATCAGATTATCCTTCGCGGCCTTCTACCCATGCCTCGGTTGCCTATTTATAGGTGTGGGACGCTTCTCAGATCCAGATCTTTCAACCGGATACAACGGGTGGTCCATTTCCGAATACCGGTACAGCCGGTGGACTTATACATAAACCCAATTTATAGCAATCACATATAATTGATTAAGGAGTTGAGAAAGAGATTTTTTTTAATAAATAATTAGTGGCAAAGCACTTTCTTTGATTTAGAAAAAAAAAAAAAAAAACTATTTTTTTTTAAAGTGTTAGAATAGTCCTCCCCTATTTTTATGAGGATATTTTAGATTCAGAGTTTATAGAAGTGCAAAAATAATTCCCGACTATTTTAAAATTGAGTTATAATAATCCTTCATTAGAATTATTTTAATCCCAATCAAAAAAATTATGGAACTAAAATAGTTTTATATAAATAGTAGAGGGTTATTTTAGCACTTTATTTTCTTAAAATAAATTCAAATATTTTAAAATTTATTATAGCCAATTTAATGAAGATATTCCGACTCCAAATATGTCCATAAAGTGGGCTTTAAATTTTAAATATTAAAAATAAATTATAATATCATATTTATTTGAAATTATATTATATTAACCACATATATTTTTATAAAATAGAAGGGAGAGTTGGCGGAGTTGGTGAGGGAGGAAAGGTAGTTAGATACATGTGTTGAAGAGGGTAGATGAGGATTGAAATGGTAGGTGGATATAAATTAGGCACACCAAAACCTATATAACGCCTAAAATTTCTTGATTACATCTATAATACTTTAATGTGTTAAATTATGCATGAAAATATGTATTTAATATTTTAAAAGTATATGATAATGGTTAGGATTGTTAATATAGCTCCAAGATCCTTAATTGATCAAAATCGATTGTTTTGAATTTGTCTCAAATCGAGATTGGATCGAGATAAACAAATCGAGCAATGAGTCGCAAAGTTTAATCCAACTTTTTTTGAGTCGATTCTGAGCATTAAATGGATCGACCGGAACAGACTCAAAATCGGCTGGTAGTATTTTTTTTTTATTTATAAGAAAAAATGTATACAATTGATATGCCACCAACAAATTTTCATCATCCGACACGAATATCGAGACATGCCACGAATCTCGAGCCGATATTTTAAGCATGAAACATTCAAATCTTGATAAAAAGTCATTCAGAGCTCCGATTTCAGCAAACTTATAGTCAAACTGACCGGCTTAATGAGATGAACCTAATGATATGAAAACTAGTTCAATCTGAGTCAAATCAAGCCCAGATCAAGTCATTGAACCACACTTAAATGATTTCCAGACACATTTGAAAAATCAAAGGGTTTTCGAATATGACAAGTTTATACTCAGATCGAGCGGCTCGACAAGATGAATCCAACGAGCCCAAGATCACTCAATTCTGACATCATTGAGGCACTTAAATGTCCAGTAAATCCCATATGATCAATGGAAGCTCTCCGGATCAAAATGATTCATATTCTTACATTAATTGCACCCAGAACATTATAAATAGAGCACCATCTCTCTTATGAGGGGGGACTGAAGTCTGGAGAGAGAGCCTCAGACCTTGAGGAGAAGCTATAGTTTAGTATCACCACCGATCGTCGTTGAACACCGCTGAACTCTGTTGTCGATCACCGCCGATCTTTGTCGTCGACCACCGCCAACCTCCATCATCGACCACCGCCGATAGCAGTCGACCATCGCTGAACGCCGAAGACCATCACCGATCTTCGTCAACCTCCGCCAACCGTCATCGATCACCAACCAGACGCTTTCAGTCAACGTTGTAATCTGGAAAATATAGTTACATTTTCCCGTCTGTGGGATAAGGATTTTTGTAATCATCAATCAATAATAGATTTTTGCAACTGAGTCAGGCCCCGTGGTTTTTTCCTTTACGGGCTTTCCATGTAAAAACTTCTAGAGTAGTTACTGTTTTTTTCTTTTTCAACTGAGTGTGTGCAGAATTCTCTTACAATACTAAGACGATAATTGTTACTCTACCGACGCGAATTTTCTGGCACGCATTAGTTTGATGTCGTATGTGGGAAACGAAGTCCTTTTCGACATTGTCTTCAACTATAAGAAGTTGATCCCCTACTTCATTTTTCAATGATGTATATCATCCAACTGGTTATGGAACCTCCTTTACATGTTGAAGATCTTCTCAGAAACATTCTTTCAGGTTGGGGGGCAACCTTCACTGCAGTCTCGAAGGTTTGTTCATGTCAACGTCCCGGGCACGACTGTGGTGGGGACATCATCTCATATTACCAGTTCATATTACAAGTCTTCAAGAATCTAGATTGGACTAGGAGGCAATCTTCACTGCAAAAAACACTTCCTCAGTATCCCCTCATTGTACTGGAGTTCCTCTTCAACTAGACCAGGAAGCTGATATCTTTAAGGCTCAATACTTGTGTTGTTTTACAAGCTTGTATGGAAAATACCCCCGCCAGGAGAGTAAACAATTCAAAAGAAACAACTAACAAGTCGTCAAATATTTTTTTTAGTATGACTGCAACCATATTTCCAAGAAAACATACGGTCTATTGCAACCTACACCCCAGTCTCGAGAAATACAGAGCATATCTGACACTTCATTATGGGATTAATCGATCCCAGAGGGACTCGATTTGACCTCTTCCATTACAGGAAGCAGTAGTCAAGCAAAGACTTTGACGAACAGCCTCGGATAGGTCAAAAATCTTTGGGGATTTCCTTTGACCTCTTCCATAACAGGTTACAGTCGTCAAGCAAAAATTTTGACCAACAACCTAGGATATGTCAACCGTCCTCAGTGGATTTCATATGACTTTATTCATTACGAGTTAATGCCGTCGAGCATCTCCGGTTATACAACTCAGAACTAGTCCTACATTATTAGTGGATTTTTTCTTTCAACCATACCCGTGGAAGTTGATCCCAGAAGAGAAGACTCGATAGAAAACTACAATACCCTAAGAAGTCAAGCCTCAAAAGGCACAAATACACGAAAAATCTCAGAAAGCTATGAGCCTCCGTAGGTACAAGTTCAAGCTCCTATAAATCATAGGTTTGAGAAAGCACAACCTTAAAAGGCAAGAACCATAAAAAATACGTGACTCTTCATTTTATAAAATGAGTGTGTTAACTTTAATTGCAGAATTTCATATGGTTGAAAAACCACAATAATCTCATAAGCAATGCCAAAGACGTACAAAGAAATACATTATTATCATCTATAAATGTCACATCAAAAGACTACAATAACCAACATATACTTGTAGAAGAGCTACAACAAATCCGTTCATCTCCAAGTAGTGTCGGCATCACCTCCCCAAAACTCCAATACTTTTGATGATTGTCAAAGGGTCTCCAGATATCACCACCACAAGCATGAAAATCTTCCTCTCAAAGTGTGATAAGAAAACTATAACATTTCTTCATCACCTCTGGAATGTGCAAGAGCGACACTGGAATCTCCTGTGGAATGCACGACATCAACGCGAAAGAAGATCCTGCTGCTCTCCTACTACGCATGTTGAGGACGACTTTCACTCTTCACCACAACTTTGCGCCGTAACTCGACATTGCAAATATGCACCGGAACTCTGCATTATAAATCGACACAACAAATCTTTGTTGCAATGTGGCAAAACAACTCTGCGCCGCAACTCGGCACCGCAACTCTGCACTGTAGCTCGGTACCTCAACTCTACACCAGAACTCAACATCACAACTCGACACCACAACTCTGTACCGTAACTCGACACGACAACTCTGCGCCGTAACTCGATATCGCAACTCTACACCGTAGCTCAGCAATACAGCTCTACATCGTAGCTATGGACCACAACTCAGCACTATAGCTCGGCACCGCAACTCTGCACCGTAGCTCGGTAATTCAACTCTGCACCATAACTCGATACCGCAACTCGACACTGTAGCTCGATACCGCAACTCGACACCACAACTTTGCACTGTAACTCGACACTGCAACTCAGCGCCGCAACTCGACACCGCAACTCCGCACCGCAACTCGATCCTGCAACTCTGCACCGTAGCTCAACACGGCAACTCCGCACCGTAGCTCGAGACCGCAACTCTGCACGGTAGCTCAGCACCGCAACTCTGCCCGGTAGCTCAGCACCGCAACTCCGCACCGTAGCTCGGGACCACAACTCTGCACTATAGCTCGGCACCGCAACTTTGCACTGTAGCTCGGAACCTTAACTCTACACAGTAACTATGTACCTCAACTCTGCACTGTAACTTGTCATTGCAACTCGACACTGCAACTCTACACCGTAACTCAGCACCACAACTCTGCGCCACAACTCAGCACCACAACTCTGCGCCACAACTCGACACCGCAAATCTGCACCATAGCTCGACACCACAACTCTGCGCCGCAAATCAACACTGCAACTCGGCACCGCAACTCGACATCGCAATTCGACACTGCAACTCTTCACTGCTGTGCAAAATGATTTTCTTCTGAGAAATTCTGAATTAGCTGAGGACTCCACACCTACCTTCTTTCATGACATTGCACATTAACGCATCACGCCACTGCGATGCTTCGCTAGCACGTCGCCACGACACACTGCCACATCACGTCGTTGCGCTACAACGTGTAGCCCCAACACACCATCACAATGCGTCGCAACGTTGTAACGCATTGCCGCGTCGCACCGCTGCAATGCATCACAACATTACAACGCACTACTGCAATGTGTCTATGCGCCGTCGCGATGCACTGTTGCAATGCATTGTCACGTCATAACACGTCGCCATGACACACTGCCACAATACATCGCTGCGCTGCAACGTGTCGCCCCGACGCACCACCGCAATGCGTCGCCGCGTCGCACCACCGCAATGCGTCGCCGCGTCGCACCACCGCAATGCGTCATGACATCAAAACGCACTACGTCAATGCATCTCTGTGTCGTTGCGATGCACCGTTGCAATGCGTTGTCACGCTGTAACGCGTTGACGCGCCGCATTAC